GCACGTGGTGGAACCACTGAGCTACATCCCTGGCCCTTGTTCTACTGTTAATATACAGTATAACCCAGAGAAATTTATTGAACCTCTCTAGCTTAGTTTGTTTTACTTAAAAAATAAAAATAATAAAATGGCTAAAATATTGAACAATTATAAATATATTACTATATTATATGTTTTAGAGATATAATGTGAAATTTCATTAAACTTTCAAAACAACTTATTTAGAGTAGTATTATTATTCCCCTTTCACACATGAGGAAACTGAGCCACAGGGAAGTTGAGTAACTTGTTAAACATTATAAAGCTGTAAAAGAATCAGAGCTGTGGGCTTGACTTTAAATACTTTGTTCTTCTCATTGCTTGAAACTGTTGACTTTCAAAATGATTAAAGACAATGTATATAAGGCAACTGGGGTAGGACCTTGCCAATAATATGTCTTTCATAAAGTTTGGCAGTATTATTAACAATCAACAGATACACAACAATCCGGGCTTCACTGGATAAGATCATAGATATATATGATTATGTTTCTTCAGTTTTTAAGATCAGATTGTTGGTTATGCTCTTCTTACAAGTAGATTTACCAATATTTATGTCATGGCAAACATTTTGCTCACTATTGTTGACTGCAGAGATCTCTCAATAGACTTGGAGCACATAGGCTGCTAGATCAGACTACAGGCCTGAGAATTATCAGGGTCTCTTAAAGAGATCAGTCATTATACAAATATCAAAAGTGACATCCATACAGCCTACCTATTTGCTGGTAAGACAGGCAGTGGATCCTATCAAGTGCACAACATGAGGAATTTGATGGTGTTTGTCACTACTGTGAACCTGAGTATTTTGCTTCTTACTAAAGCTAAAAAATCTTTTGGCCCAAACACAGAAAGATAAATACATGATCTCACGTACATGCAGAATGTGAAAAAATTGGAACTTGTAGAAGCAGAGAGTAGAGGGTGGTTGCTAGACGGTGGTTGGTGGGAGACAAACTGTCACTTATAAAATTCACTTCTGGGGTTCTAATATACAGCATGGATAGCAACCCTATATATATGTATATATATCAGGTACAGTCTGAACATATACAGGCTTTATTTTCCGATTGGATACTTTAAAATAAAATGTCTAAATTTTTTTTCTCATTGAGTTTATTGGTACATTTTAGGTACACAGTACAGTGACATTCATCACTGGGATCTTGTACCTTTACATGCCAGGTCTTGGTTCTCATTTTTTCCCCTTGTCCCTGCCCTCCCTTCACCCCCTCCTCCCCTCGCCATTTACAAACATTTCATTTCCACTTTTTCATTTTCTCCTATTTTTTCTTGCCCTTATTCCCTTTCCCCCATCCTTCCCACTTTCCCTACACCTTTATCCCTTTTCTTCCTATTACACATTG